ACCGCGGCGCTTTCCGCCTAGGATATTGAAATGCCGTGGCCGCGGGTCGTCCTGTCGGAGGGACACGGGCACGGCAAAGGAGGAGGATTCCCCGTGGTCTGAGGCCGAGGGCAGCGGCACCCGCTAACAACTGTGCCGCGCCTCAGCCGCTGGAGTCGGCAGCCAGGGCAGCCGCGGCTCTGCGCAGACACAAAGTTAAAGGGCTTGTTGATGGCACGTCCTGCATCCGGCTGGATTGTCCCGCTGTTGACTCGCACGCTTTTCCCATGGGCTTTGACAGGCACACCCTGCTGCGGGGCCTCTGTCCCAAGGGTGCGGGCAGCCTCGGCGGCTGCTCGTGGCTGGCAGTCTCCTCTCTTCAGGGATGCCCGGGGAGGGCTCTCCCCTTGCCCACACATCTCTGAGCTTGGGGAGCCAAGGGGTCAGGCTTACCCAGCCGCCCTGCTGACAGCTGATCCATGCAGGAGTCAGCAGGAATGAGGTGGCTGTAACCACTCATGACAGGAAAATGAAGACTGATGGGCCTCTGGACTACTAAACCGGGGTAAATTGGGTCTCAGAAACATGATCACCCCACCTCAGGCCAGCACAAATGCTGCTCCTTGCTCTCAGCAAGGCAAGCAGGTCTGGGAGCCTGTGTGTTTCCTGGCCTTCAGTCATGCTGATAAGAATGTTCTCAGAAAAAGATGACAGTACATCCCCACCACCCATCTCTAATTCCTGAGGCAGGGAAAGCAAGGAAGAAGTACCCCGAGTCTCATTAGCAGCTATCAGCTTGAGCAAGTAAGATGGCGTCTGAAGTAACAGGCGTGAAAGCAATAGCTACTTGAAAGAATAAGATCGGTTTGTTTTTCCTTAAGGAATTACAGGAATATTAAAGCCTTCTTGCAGTTATAAATCATTTAATGCAAATCATTTAATCCAAACAGAATTTTTACAGGCTCATGAGGCTCACTCATTTTGCCAAGAGTGAGTCATGTACAAATAAAATGAAACCAACAAAGAAAAGAGCTCTCATACCATGTGTATGTGGGTGATCCTTTGAAAAACTTGTAATTATTTTTTTAACTCTACCACAGCCAGGAAGACAGGTTTGTAAAGCAAGAGCAGACCTTGATAGCTGTAGCCTATCCACATGTACTTTTTCCTTCACTCAGAAAGTAACACAACAGGTCCCTTGTCAGGTTAACAACAGTAATACCTGTCTAATGTATCAGCAGTCCCTCAAACGCCGTGATTTCAAACCCAGTTGTGTGCTGACATACTAAGGCAGTGAAAGACTTCTCAAAAATATGAAAATAATGTTAAGTGATTAATACTTAGTAAAAGATTGCAGTACGCAGTTAATCCCTCGCTTACGGGTTAGTTAAGGACTTGAGTTAGACTTCATTCTTCACTCCCCGTGTCATAAATATGTGCTGCTAAACACAGAGCACAGCATGAGCCAGTGGGGTGGTGATGCACTGCTCTGAAATGACTAAAATGCAGGGACACAAAGCCATGTGATGGTGAGAATGGGAGCCTTAAAATGTGTCATCATCCCCATAGAATGAAACCGACACTGAATGCCATTCACTTTGCATGAGGACAGATGCTCCTGGCTCCTCACATGACCACAGTTTCCCTTCCATCTTCTTAGGCAGAAGATGATATTTGCATATGATCTGTAAGTCCCCAGATTTGGGAAATCCAGGACCCTAAGACCTCTGTAACTTTCAATATCAGTGCCCTCCCCCAGTGCCTAAAACACCACTCCTATTTGGCAAAAAGAAAGGTCTTGTTCTCTTTGAGTTTCAGGGATGTGCCGTGACTACCATGCATTCACATAAATGCTTTTCTTAGCAGCCATGAAATGAGGTTTCAGTACAACTGCAGGACATGTCAAAGAGCCTCTGAAACCCTGCGGTATCTGTGCTGCC